TTGCTGACATTCTGATTCGTCATTGTGATTGACCACGCAGCAGCAGCAGTCGTGAATGGGGAGCGAGCGAGCGGGCGAGCTGTGCCAGGCAGACCTCATTTGAAACCCTTTAAGCACCGTGATGCCTAAATATCCACGCGATCGAGTCAGCGGAACTCCGCGTCCGGCGGCAGCCTCCACACAGCCATGCATGACTGCACCGATCGAGCAAAGCAACTCATGAACGCCGCGCATGACTTGTATATGATGTGGATTCTCGAAGCTTGGCTCGGGATGATGCTTGTGCAGACTACACTCGTGATTCCAATCGGCCCATTCACATTGACGATTCTTGATTGCAATGTCTTAGCTCCTGTTGTAGCACGCGCCTACACGGCGTCCAGCAGCAGCAATCACCATGACTTGAGCTACATCAGCGTCCAGCGCCCTCATGACGTAACTGCGGCGCGTCGACGCTCGGACCTTCATGAGCAGGCAGAGGCTACCCATGCAGCAAAAGTCGGGTGCTCTGATTCCCGCGGTCCCCCACTAAGCTGTAATCGTCGTCTTGTCGTTCGTCCCGCAGCACCAACGACAGCCAGGCAAATTTTGACACTTGTATGCCCCTAGAAGAGGACCTCAGTCGCTGCGTGCGGGGCAGGTCGAGCCGGAGTCTCGGCGAATGGATGCAAGCTAGGCGCGAGCTGCAATTAAAACCTTAGCCTCGAAAGATCACGATGTCAAGAGGCTTGGCGCTGCCGGGGATTCCCGCAAAGGATCTGCGTCAAGACGAGCTTGCCTGGCTGTTCTGGGAGCGCGGTGAAAGGGTTGGCTAGAGCGAGGATGAAGGTAGCGAACGAATCGTTACGAGAGCGAGCCCATTCGAAAAGGTATAAAGAGGGCACCATTGTTCAGCCAGAAGTCCCACGATTCCCATCGACATCACCAGCTCTTCTTGCAAAGTCACTTATCAACCTGAGCATCGCGCAACACAATTTCGCCACGCCCATCTACAAACCTTCCATATCAGCCAAAATGCGTTTCTCAAGTGCAGCTGCCACCATGCTCGGCCTCGCTACTTTCACCCTGGCATCTCCAACGCCCGCGGAGCCAGCTGAAGCCAGAGACGCGCCTAGCAACGATTGCAAGTTGGGAGGGGCTGGCGGCATCCAGTCCCCTGCGTTCGACTCTAAAATTGCAACTTCGGATGAGGTGAGATGTCACACTGCGAATGATGACTCGTGAGCCGCGGGCTTACTGAACTGCATGCCTTCAATTAATACTCGTGCAGGGCTTCAAGATGGTGTTCTGTTCGGGAGAGTACTTCAAGACATCCACCAAGGTGAGCAACGAGTGCGCGAACGTGGTGTCGAACGGGCAGCAAAGCGGAGTGTCCATCTGACTGATATTGACTTGGCGGCCTGCTGCTCAGTCGATTGATGTGATCATGCTTAACAACGCCAACGAAGGAGGAAGCGGCATCACCATTGCCAAGGGTCTGAAGCCCACAACCGCTTCAGGCTACGATGCAACGCTCCACTTCAACCCTGATGACTACTCCACGCCAGAGTCCAAGGACTGGACCCTGCTGGTGTACGAGCACCACACTTCATACGTGAGTGACTGACTCGCCTCTCAGATGCGCCGAGCTCGGCTGGCATCATCTAACGTTTTTGGCATTCTCTTGTCGTTGCGCGCAGGGAGCGTCAGATGACACATGGTCTACGTACTCTCAGCACATTACTGTTGCCTGAGATGCTCCTTCCGATAAGCAGCCGACGTCCACGCTTGTCCGATTTGGGTCAAGCACTTCCGCGATGAATCCTCTCACATGGCAAAGGTCGTCAATCACCAATGTAGCACATACCCTCGATTCCCAACAACGGACTTTTTACTGCCTACAATGGACATTTCGCTATCTCAATGCTCCCTGCCAAGCCCGTTCGCTTCTCCTGCAGTGTCTATGTATCCTACTGTTGCGGTTACATGGCCGAACCAAGCATTGTCGATTCTCCTTCACATACCTTTGAGGCTGAGACGAGGTCTGGGAGCATGCAGATCTCATCAGGCCGTGCCTCGGCGTAGTTGACCATCGATGGGAAGAGAGCTGTTGGTCGGGACGATTGGATGTGATAACAGCCCTCTCTTGGAGTGGTTGAGACATTCGCAGACAACCCGCGTGTGCGTGTGCTTTGGGAGATACACCGGACGCAACAGCACAACTGCACAACAGCCGCGGATCTTGTATTACCCATACATACACTCACACTCGTGACTCTTGACTTTCAACTCGTGACTCTGACTCAAGCACACGCGTAAAGACTGCAGAGCACAGAGTCGCGAGGCAAGCGCTGCTCACGCTATCGACGTCATCGCCAGTCACACTTAAGGCGGCGGGCGCATACTGTACATGCAGCAGAGCTTGATCAGCGATCGAGCTACAGTACACCCGGCAGCACCGCTTCGACGGCTGGATGGATGGATGGATGCATGTGGAGGGTCGCGACGGCTTGATGCCGCGTATCGCGTGCACTGCCTGCAGCCTATACTCATCTGTGTGACTGTACCTCTGCTGCCTGCTTGCTGCCAGCCGCTCCATCGGCTCGTTTAGGCGTGTCAACAGCGACTTCGACCAGTTCGAGTGCCCCCCCAACCGAAGTCTCCAAGTGATCGACTCTCACTTCTCTCACAAACACGCATCAAGCCATCCAACACCACTCGAAGCGAAGCGCGATTCTAAAAGGCCAAAAATGTCGACGATCGGAGCCAACGCAGCTGATTCGAGGCAAGAGCCAGAAGGCGTGATTCGACCGGACGCGGAGGGCAACGCCACTCTGCAAGATTCTTCCACTCATCAGACTTCTGGCACAGGTGCTGGAGGAGCAGCGGGTCTCTCTGCTTCGGCTGCCAACGATCCAGACGTGCCCGCTTCCGCTAAAGACGCCTCCATCTATGGCACAATCCCGGGAGAGGGAGTGGGATTCAAGGAGCAGGTGCAAGGTGAGTCAGTTGGTTCTTCTGCGCCCCGTAAACGACCAAACCGTGCTTCTTGCAATTGCAGTGAATGTGCCCTCGTGGGATCTGAGTATTTTCCTCTTCAGAGGAGCTCAGGCTGACTGCTGCTTTCTGCCAATGCATGCGTCCTTCTCTCCTGCTGACTAGGTCATGCCAAGTACTTTGCGGGCAAATTGACGGGCAACGACAAGGAGGTGCAACAGGGTGCAGCGAGGTGAGAAGCGAGACGAGCGCCTTGTTGGAGCTTGATGTTCGCCTCACGCACAGCAGAGGTGCCACGCGCCTGCCCATTGACACTGTCTACGCTTTCTGTCTCTCAGGGTTCGCGGCGTGGAAGAGCCTCAGCAGTGAGAAGTATACAGAGTGCTTTAGCCGAGGCAGGCTTGCTCGAGCGTAAAAGGAAGGCAGAATTGGCTCAACACACATTCAAGGTAATCACTCAAGTGGAACCCAGTGCTCGCCTCAGACTACCTCACTCTACGGCGTCATGTATATCTATTCAAGGGCACCGCTCATAGCGCTATCCCACTCGACCGAAATCTGCGATACTGTTCTTTCTCTGCGCATCATCATTGGAATGTCTGACTGAGGTGGCAAACCCTCCATCGTGGGGTCGCTTGCCTAGCGACTGTACCACATCTCCTGCACCGACTGCTGCGCTGGTCTGATGATCGATAGGCGCATGCTTAGCGGGCGGCACTTTCCTTCCGTTTGCAGCTCTTCCGATCATAACTTCGTGATCGCTCAAGTGGGCCAATCTAGCTGTTTCCCTTCGCACGTATTCCGTCACCTTGGCCAAATGGATTGGATATTCCAGAGTAATGTCAGCGTGCACCGAGATTGTTGGACTCTCGGCTGAATTAGAAGGGGCGACGGATCCACTAGCCGGTGCTGAAGAAGCCGCCAGCTGAGCAGCAGCTTGCCCATAAGGTCCAGCCAAAGGTGCGCCGCTATCCTTTGCCAGCACAGCATCTCCCTCTTCGGAGGCATCTTCCCCTTTGGGCGTATGGTCTATGCCCTTGACTTTTCTCTTGACCCCTCCGATCGACCCCCAGCCTTGACCCCAAATATTTCTCCAGATTGCCGCAGCCAAGGCCGCATCCGTATCCGTCTGAGCAAGCCCTTCATCGAAGCCTAGCACGGCGCCTCGATGCTGGACGTGTAGGTCCCGCATGTATCCCTTGACCAATCGACTCGTGCTGATACCAAAGCGAGATCGCATGCGCGACTCGGCATCAATAAAAAAGTGATTGACCAATTCTTGAGTGTAGATTTGCGCCTGCTTCGGCGGCATTGCTCGGAATCGGACCAGCAAGAGGTAGACGTGCAGGTTGGTCAGCTGAAACCAGACCTGATATGTTCGAGGTAAGCCGCACTCTGCATAGCGTTGATCAGACGAAAGCTCAGCTTGAAAATCTAAGACGCGTTTGGCGGGCTATATGCGACTCACCCTGATGCCAAAACTCCTCATCGTAGTAGCTTTGCTGTGCGCACAGATCGTACAGATCGCTGTTGACTCTGATGGCCGTGTTCTTTACCGAGTTGTAGCCAAACAAGTTTGCCAAGCCCAGCACGATCGATTTTGTCAAGGCGCTGTGCTGACGGGGAGCTCTGGGAGACGGCGAGAGACCGCTCTCGTGCTTGCCGCCTTCGGGTCTCGACTCCCTGTCCATCGCTTTGGATAGATGTGCGCTGGATGTTTGGAATGACCGGACCTGCGTCGAGCAGATGGCACGAGAAGCGGATGCAAGGGCTTGTTGACCGGATTGTGCTGTAAGTTGCGCGGAGATAAACTTGCCAAGTGCTTTACAAGCAGTCATGCCGCCGCTAGAGCTTCCGCTCAGCACCGGCAATGATCGGTGGCCGAGCATGATGAAATCGGATCGAGGCAGCTGCAAAGTTGATTGTCGGCAGCGTACTTTTCGACGCGCTCGCGGATGCTGTGGATGGGATTATTGGGGAGGAGGGGGAGCGCAAGGTGTGCGGCAAGTCTTTGATGAGAGAAACGAGCGGCGATGAATTCATGATTGTGGAGGAGACTTGCTTGCGGGCTTGTGTAGGGACTCACTCGAGATATTTAGGTGCTTTCGCGTCTACTCACACTCAAGGACTGAATGGCATGTCTGTCAGCTCGTGTGTGGGTTTTGTCAGCCTTGCATGTCACGTGCCCCGAAGAGCTCTGACCGAAGGCGCGGCATTTGATTCATTCACGTGATTCGTGATTCAAATTCAGATTCGAGGGTTGGCGAGTCCGTGCGGTGACGGATGACATGGTGCGCATGGAGGGCGTCGAAGCTGGCCCACGTGGCTTGGGCGAGCACTGCAAGAAGAACTCAAGAAACTCACTCGCC